GGACCAGTCCTGATGATAATGGGAGTGAAAAGGAAGTCTTGATCTAGATCAAACCAGCTCAGCCATTTGCATAATCATTTGGGGGTCTAGAAAACCATTTGTATTACAGAGTTATGAAGAAATGAACTTGCATTTTGCCTGGGCTACTCATAATTATTCTTTAAAACTCACAAAGAACAGGCAAGATATAGGACAGTTATAGGAAGGAGAGCAAAATATGGAATCAATCTTGCAGCAAGAGCCCAGAAATTACTGTCCAATAATGAAACAATTTGAAGAGAGAAAAATCTGTAAACATTTAGAGAGACAGTGAAATCATAAGCAATAAGGAGAAAGATTTGTGAACATCCAGCCCTGCCAAGTCCAAAGTCCTCCTCCCCCCACACTAGGATTTCAAAATTATTGCATGAAATAAATGTTTTAGAAAGCACCACCCCACCACCATTGCAAGAAGGCAAATGATACTGAATATAGGAGAGGATTATAGCAATTTCTACATCCAGAAGGGAACGTGGAGTCTATATTTCACTCATTCAATGTAACAGATGAAGAGAGACGCAGAGGGGATAAAGGGTTCATCCTAGTTCACTGTCATTTCCAGCTACCCCTGTGCAAAGTCATTTCTACTACACTGCACTCTGCTGTTGTTCACACACGGGGATAACTAATCTGAACTGAAAGTTTTGGTAATAAGCATAAAAAGAAAATAAAATTCAGATGCCTAGTAGATGTGAAAAATCCCAGAGATCATTATGTACTAATGAAAGAGGGATTCTAAGCTGTAACACCTGATGCTCTTGATGGTGGTGAGTTAGCTCATGACCATGACGTATTCTGATGCAGTTGGTCAAAGCATAAAACACAGAGAACGAATTGTTCCTCCTGTATCATTAATCCAGGAAGGCAGCAACCAGCAGGATCTTTCTAGGGAAGTAGCAGATGTATGTCCCTTATTGAACACATCACATCTCTTAACCTCCTGGAATTACCTAAGTGAACTAGAACCCCAAGAGGGTGAAAACCAGAGCTCCTACCAGTCTTAGATTTCAAGAACATCTCTTTTTCTTCCACTTATTCATAATTTTAGGCTTGTATTATGGAAAATGTCATGCATATACAAAAGTAGGCAGAATAGCATTAATAAACCTCATATACCCATTGCTCATCTTCAACAATATCTACTCATGATCAATCATGTTTCATCAATATGCCCATCTACCTCCTTCTTCTTATTTTGAAGCCAATTTCAGATGGTATTGTGACTTCACCTATAAATATTTTAGTATACATTCTAAAATATAGGTGCCAAAGAAACAGAGATGATCACAATGCAATGACCACCATTGAAAAGTTAACAAGTATTACATCATGAAATGTCCAGGCAGTGTTCAAATTTGGAGTTGTTTCATGGTCTTTTTTAATACTTTGTTTGAATTGGCATCCAAGTAAGGTCATTTTATCTTATCTCTGTAGTCTCTTTTTAATTTATAGTTTCTCCCTCCACTCACCCTGCAATTTATTTCTTGAAAACACCAGGTTGTTTGCCTCATTTCCCACAGTCTGCATTTTATTGACTAAATCCCTGTGTGTCCTCTATATTTTGAAGTAACTTGGTCTAAAGCTGGGCTTTCCAGTACAGTAGTCACTAGACACACAGAGCTATTAAAATTAAAAGTTCAGTTTATCTGTCACACTCACCACATTTTAAGTGCTCAGTAGCCACATGGGGCTAGTGGCTACTGTAGATAACAGTGTGAATAAAGAACATTTCCACTATTCAGAAAATTCTAGAATGTTCTAGAGGCTAAGTTAAGTTCTATGAGGTAACTTTGAAGGAAAGCAGATATTAAAATCTCCTTTTTCAAGGCTTGATTCCCAGGCAATCTTTCTCACAGTGGTCACTCTAAACCTCCATAATTGAATACTGAAGATGAAATAAGAATTCAAATGATCAGTTTGTTTTTAAATTCACAACACTGGTATACTTACAAATATTTTTGCAATTTGCTTTTTTACTCAACTCTTTAAATTTATTTATGTTGCCATATTTATATGTAGTCTTTTATTTTAAGATATGTGTAAAATTCCTTTGTTTAAAAGTATCACAATTTATTCACTACCTTTTAGTTAACATTTATATTATTTTTGTTCTTCTGTAGCATACACTGATCTTCAAGGGATGTGCTTTTATGCCTTTTGCCTACTGTTACAGATGAGTAAAGGAAGAGGCAATCTTTATGTGGACTTGCTGGGGCTTTAAACTGGACATTTTTAACTCTAACAAGTATTGCCCTATCACTGTCCAAAGTGATTATATCCAATTTACACTCCCACCAGCAATCTGCAAGGATTCCCAGTTTTTTACATCATTCCCAATGTTGGATAGTGTACAGACTTAATTTTTATCAGTTTGGATCCACATATATTCAACAAAAGTAAAAATACAACCATGTAAAGATAAAGGAATGGAATAGAGGGGGCAGAAATGACTTAGCTCAATCTATAATTCTTTAAAGAAAACAAAAGCTGATAGGACAAAACAATAGCATCCATTAATTATGAATGGTAGATGCAAAGAAGTTGGTCATGTTATTTTCAGTCCTCTTTGGTGGGTTTATGCTTTGAGAATTTTTTTCATAATCATTTTTTTTTTTTTTTTTTTTGGTACAGGGGATTGAACCCAGGGTTGCTTAACCGCTGAGCCACATCCTTAGCCCTTTTATTTAGAGACAGGGTCTCACTGAGTTGCTTAGGATCTCACCAAGTTGCTTAGGCTGGCTCTAAACTCGAAAGATCCTCCTACCTCAGCCTGAACCTTTGGGATTATAAGCAAGCCACTGTGATTATAGGTGTGCACCATTGCACCTGGCTCATAACCATTTTGTAATGCAAAGATTTAACTAAAAGTTATTCAGTAAACAAAAAAAATTTTTGAATATGAGATCATATATTAGTTTTTTGTTTGCTTTTTAATTTTTAGTTTCTGGGATATTTATTTATTTATTTGGCTTGTCACTTAAAAAGAAAATGCTTAGAGGGATAATTCATTGGTTATATTTGCTCCCAAATGACCTCCAGCTCATGAGTGTTTCAATCAAACTTCACTCAGTGCCAGTGAATTGATTTATTTTATACTTGGATGCTCCATTATATGTCAGCAGAATTATTTACTTTCTACTTAGCACTCTGTATTATATATCGCATAGCATTTTCTTCCTTGACGGACGATATAAACTAAAGCGAGGGAAAACTACAAATGGATCCTGTATTTGAAATAATGCCAGAAATTTTGTGGATTATTTCTGATTAATTTTCATTTACTATGTGGACGAGGCGCAACACTTTCTCTAACACAGAGGGCTGCTAACTCTTAGCATCACTGTATTTGCAATAGTTGCTTTTAAAATCCAAACTAAAACTGTTTTACAGGATGTGACAACAAAGCACCAATGATGATTCTGATTTGTTAGCACAGAAACAAATTTCAAATCCTGTCCATGTACAAGGCACCATGCTAGGCCCTGTAAGAGACATAAAGCCAGACAAGAATCTGTCCCTGCCTCTGAGAACTCATAATTGAGCAACCTTTTCTTCTTGCAAGACTAACTACAAAAGTTTTATTTTTATAGTCAGAAGCTGGCTCTGGCTTTGTTCTGCTCTGATCTTTGTAACTTGTTTTAGAGATTTCTCAGTAGTTATTCATTGCTCAGTCAGTCTTGCTGACCTTTGGCCAAAAACAGTAGCATTTTGACCTGGCCTATGGAACTCGGCGCTTCCCACTCCATGAAGCTAGTGGCATAAATAACTTCAAATAAAACCCTCCTGGAGATGTGTGATGGCCACAGCATGAGGGAGAAATGGGGCAACAGGGAAAAGAAAGAAGTGGGAGTACACAAGAATAAGTGGCATGGCATCCATGTTTTAAGCATTTTTCTCCTTTTCTCCCTTAAGAGATTTATTGTTTCTCTACTAAATAAATGAAAGGAAAAAAAAAGTGAGGGTGCAACACTTCAAACCAAGATGCTAAAATTAAATATGTTCCCTTCTACACCTGGGTCTTTTAAGTGGGCTTCTTTGAGACTGGATATTTAGGGTAAAGATGGATATTTAGCATAGAATTTAGTATGGGCACACTTCGTAAGTTCACAGACAGTCAGAGGGGAGTGGCCAGTATGAGAGGCAGTGTGCCTGTGTGTGTGTGTGTGTTCTCACACACAGATGGGTACACATGTGCCTGCTCATGAGCGCGACAGGACAAAGGATGATCTAAAGGGCAAAAGGCCGCCTACGTCTTGAAGCCATTCACACTTTATGGTGTCTAAACTTCAAAACGAAGCAGTTCTGAAGGCCATTTAGTGGCAGCACTACAGGACTTCCTGAGAAGTTAGGCTTATAAAATAAAGACGCATCTGGCCACCAGCACATGAAAAGAACTCTTTGCAGACAACAGTTCAGTAGGAGGAGTGTAAATGGATTCAAAAACACCTGGCTGATGTTTCCCTTGAGGTTCACAGGGGGTGAACTGGTTAAGAAAGGCTTGGTTAATTGGACATCATCAGGCAATTCGACATGTCCAGAATATTGGGAAGGGACCAAGGGAGTGTTGATGCTATCCTAGTTAGAGTATTCCAGGAAATAATCTTCCCCTGGGTTCTGCCATGGGTGCCAAAGCTCAGAGCAGGTCAGCTCAATAGCCTGAGCCTGTTTTCACATCTCCAAAATGGGAACAACAGTATTTCACAAAATAAGGAAGACTGAAATAAAATAGAAAGGCTTTGTACAGGTATACAAAGCAGGTATACAGCCAATGTTTCTTCTTATTTTCAGCTTTAATAAATAAAGAAAAATATGAAATATTATCCATAGCAATGATGCTCCACAATTCTTGTAGCCAAATAAAACACCAGTGTCTAGTTGTCCCTGTCTAGTTGTCCCGCAAAGACTGGGTGTACCAGAGCTCAATTTCTTTTCTCTCTCCCACCCCCCATCCCCCCCTGCAGCGAGCTCCTCCCTGAAGAAGCGATTCAAGCGACGGGAGATCGAAGCCATCCAGTGCGAGGTGCGGAAGATGTGCAACTACACCAAGATTCTGTCCACCAAGAAGAATCTGGACCACGTGAACAAGATCCTGAAGGCCAAGCGGCTGCAGAGACAATCAAAGACAGGCAACAACTTCGTCAAGAAGAGGCGAGGGCGTCCCCGGAAGCAGCCCAATCAGTTTGATGAGGACTCCAGGGACCAGATGCCGGTGCTGGAAAAATGCGTCGACCTGCCCAGCAAAAGGGGTCAGAAGCCCAGCCTGAGCCCGCTCGTGCTGGAGCCGGCCGCCAGCCAAGACACCATCATGGCCACCATCGAGGCGGTCATCCACATGGCCCGCGAGGCACCGCCCCTGCCACCGCCGCCGCCACCGCCACTGCCACCGCCGCCGCCGCCCCCGCCCCCGCCGCCGCCGCTGCCCAAGACCCCCAGAGGCGGGAAGAGGAAACACAAGCCGCAGCCACCCGTGCCGCAGCCGCCACCGCAGCAGACCCTTCCCCAGGAAGAGGAGGTCAAGGCCAAGAGGCAGAGGAAATCCCGAGGGAGCGAGAGCGATGTCCTTCCCTAGGGCTGTGGGCCCCTGAACCTGCAGCTGGGGAACTGACGAATTGGAAGTGCAGTGGGCGGGGCGGGGGGCGGGATCCCCCACTGCAGGGACAGCAATGCCCTTCTCTCCAGAAGCGGGCGGGCAGAATCAGGCCAGATGACGGGGTTGAGCCATCCAGAGCTCCTGGGATAGCAAGGCAGGGGGACACCTTCAGAAGAAGCTCGTCTGTGCTGTAAGGCAGTTCCCAGTCCAGCGGCCCTTCAGTGGGGCTGAGTCCTTTTCAGGCGAGAAGACCCATCCGGGAGGAGGAAGCTGGTGCTCTCTGAAGGCCACCTGACCTCCACCTCCAAGGTGCGCCCTTGATTCCGATTTCATTTGCTGGCCAGGAAAATCAAAGGGAAACACCCTCAATTAGGAAACATTCCAAGGGGAGAAAAGCTGCACATTTGTCAACTGGCTTTGTTGTAACCCACTTCACTTAATTGGTTTTATTTCTTTGGGTTTGCAAGCTCTGCTAGGCTTTGGGACACCAGTATCATCTGCAGGTGACCTGAATCTTTCCGTTAACAACAGTACAGTTTCTCAGATGGAAGCGAGAGATCGGAAGGTGGAATCTAGTGATAGGCGACCTTAGACCTGCATTCACGTTCTTCTGTATGCCTCCTCTATCTCTCACACACTGGTTTTTAGCATCGTCTGTTCCTGCTTTTCCTTTGTCCATTGTACTTCCATGTACCTAAACTAGCTGCCTTCTTTTCTTGGTACACATCTATCTAACCTAATTGTTACCTGTGTTGTAAAGCTTGCCCTTGGCACCTTGTCCCAAGGAACTTGGCTTTGAATCCCAATCGTTGTGAAGAAGATACTCAGTATTGATAGAGCCTTTTTAATAAGTGACTCAGATCAGCCAAGGATATGTTGACCAAGATGTCAACCAGGTTATTTTTATACTTAAAACATATCAGTGGGAATAGGCAGAAAAAAAATGGTTTTAATACCCCAATACAAATGGAATAGCTGATGAGTCACCAAAAATTAAACCCCTGACCCACTAGAAAGACAAGTGTCCAGCAATGCCTTGGTACCTGATTTTTTTTTTTCATACAGAGCTGTCATAGGTTGTTGAGAAAAGGAAACAAAAACATAATAGAACAAGTCCATTATCTCTTGTTAATTATTTCTTAAAAGCAAATGGGAGTAAGTGTTCTTATCAGAAAAATAAAAATAAAATGTTCAAAGGGTATCACCACTCCAATTGTATCATGCCACCTTGGACAAAGTATCCAAATTGTGGTTGCCTTAATACACTAAAACATTTTTGTACATAATGTAATTATAAATCTATCAGTCTGCATGGATGCAAACTGTGTGTGACAAATCGTCTTTTAAATGGTCAATTTCAACTGTACATTTCTCATCCAAGTTGTACTCTAGCCATTGGTTTAGCGTGGTCAGATATTCCATCTCTATTATCCATTTCCACAGCCCAAGTTAAACATGTTAAGAAGAGTCAGAATGAATAGGAAGTTATCCCATTGCCGTAGATGTTTTTAAAAGTCAGATGTGGAAATTTCAAATAAGTATTTCCAATTTCCTCCCTCCCTCTTCCCCTCACCTTCCCCAAGACATCGAATACCTGGCAGGGTAGATAGAGAGACACTGAGAGAGAGAATGAAATTTTATAATGGGAATTAGAAGATCTGGTTTACCTCCAAATTAACTTTCTTTTTCAGGAAGTTGGGAACAGCTGGAAATTGTATTATCACTTCAGAACACAATGTTATTTTCCTTAGAGAGAGATAGATCTTTGTTGGGAACATAAGAGAATAAGTGATGGGGTATCGATGGGAGTAGATTTTTAAAATCCCAAATTAGTATGCTCACAAACATCACTGCTCTGTTGTGGCACCAGCAGGTAGTTGAAATCACATACAGAGCCATCCTGTTCTGAACTGTCACCATGGAGCCATGGACTTCCCGTTATTTGTCACCCACTAGGTCAGTTGCACTTAATCCTAGCAATATGTAAGTTTAAAGACTGTATTTTAAATCTACTATCCTAGGTACTCAGTTTGTGACCTGGATTGACCTTTGGCATTTCACACAAGTTGAACAGCAAAATCAAACCAGCCATTTTCAATCTGTCATTCCCAAGCCATGTCTGAGTGGTTTCAAAGTCACCAGAGAGGAAGGTTTAAATTAGCCCCTCTCACCCCACCATTGCTATGAAAGAGCAACCATTTTCATTCCAATTAAGCCATAAAGAGGTTTCTCTTCCTGTTGGATTTGAAAATGATTTCTTTCATTCTTCCTTGCCCTTCTCTCTTCCTGTATTGTACTGTCTCCCAACCAAGTCTGTAAGCAGACTATATCTTCTTGCAGTGGAGAACAAACTGGTGCCTGCTAAACTTGTTAAAGGAAGACCCAGAATTTAATTGGCATTAATCTCTAACAGGTGAACAATTCCAGATAACTTTGGGATTCATTAAAATTTCCAAACCAATGAAAGCTATTCCAGGAGAAATACAGCAAAGTTACAACTTATATGTGAATTCAGGTTCATGGTTGGCATGTGAGTTACATGCAAATCCTCCACATATAGATCCTAAGAAAGGATCAAAGGACCAAAGCTGAGGCATGCTAAATAGTGGCTTGGAGGTGGAAGCAAATCCAATCACCTACATACCTTCCTCTCTCTGCTCCCCAGTGACTCCCTCAGTGTCCCATTTCTCTTCTGCCTTTCACTAACCTGACTCATCTCATTGGTACACCATTTTCTTATGCTCTAAGCTTTCCTAGGCCCCTCCTCTCCTGTCCAGGCTCTCCATGAGGCCAGTGTAGTTTCCCATTTCATTGATTGCAGAGCCAGGAGGAGAACCCAGCTCTCATGATCCAGATTGCCAAAGTCTTAAACTCTCCAACACTGCCTACAGGGGCTGCATTTTTGTATTTCAGAGAGGTCATTGGGGATGCACAAAATTCCTTATATGTATTGTAGAGACAATACATTTTTTTTTGAAGAAAAAATTGTCTATCTATGGGAGTCAATTTTAAAATCCCAAGTTAATATGCTTGCAAACATGAGAAACCCCTTGATTTCCTTTTTTTCCCCCTTGGTTTTTTTTTCCCTAGAGTATTCTCCTTTAGCAAGCAGATACGGACCCACTTATAATATCAGGAGTCCGATTAGGGATGAGAAAAGAATGAAACCTAGCTATGACAGCCTCCTTGAAGGTGCTGATGGATCATTAATCCACTGTACTAAGTGGTTGGGTGGCTACTTGCTTTTCAATCCCTCATCTCAGATGAGAGGAGCTGAAGTTTAACTTCCTCAAATAGCCCAGCTCTGGCTATATCCCAAGAAAGAAAGGTCAAAGGAAAGGAGAGCATGCAGGGATGCTTTGTGACTTGGCAGGACCAGGACTCTGCAGCCTCTGGCAGCCCAAGGAAGGTGACTAAGGGCTGGCAGAAGAGGAGCATGTTAACTTGGCCGCTGCCTGGAGCGGAAGGCCACGCTCAGTGGCAGTCAGAATTTGCGTTCTGCACGGTGCTGAGTCTATAAATATGATAAGCAAGTGGTGACAGAATTATAGAATAAGGTGATGTATTACATGCAGATCATAAAGGATTTGGTATTAGGACTTAAGTAGAAAATCCCACTCCTAGCTTATTACCCAACAATATTCAGATAATGAGCTTTTGGAGAATTTTTTTTTTCTCTATCACTAGGAAGATTTACCTGGGAACTGTCTAAAGTCTATACATATATTTCCAAAGCCTTTAAATGCCAACCTTAGCGTGGAGAGAGAGGGGGTGGCAGGAGCCGAAATGCCTCAAAAGCCATTTAAGTGTTACGTTGCAGGATTTTCAGTCCTACTCATTATGTAAAAGTAGATAAATATAGACATTTTTCTTAACACTACCCCATCGTATCACAATGGTCCAAATGCCAGAGCTTACAGATAATGTCATCACAGTGCCTAGCAACTCAAACTGTAATATACCGTAGCATTTTCTTGGTGTTTCTTAAAAAGTTTCTTTCCACAATACAAGGCTTCCTCTGCCTCTTGTTTCTTGGCGAGTTTACCCCACTGGCGAGTCTACCTTCCCTATTGGACACAGTCATTTGGGGAACAGTCTTAGAAGCACATATCAACCAAGGAAGAAACTTCCTGGATACCTATTGCCCACTTGCCCAGGTATAATAAACACTAAAGGGGGGAAAATTGAACAGAGCTGCCAACTGGTCAACTTCGAAAGGTAGCTCCACCCTACGATGGTGTCTTTCTTTTTTCTTCCTTTTTTTAAAAAAAATCTATTTCTTAAATAATAATAAATGCACATGATGTGTTAAATATGTACATATATATTTCAAAAGAAAAAAATGGGGCACAAGATTGTCTTACAAGTCGTGCTGGCTAATTTTTAGTTTGTATTCATAAGTGGTTTTTAAAAGCCTTTTTTAAAGTGTAATTTGCATGTTCTACTTTGATTGTATGTAAACATATTTTAGAACAAAAATGTATTTGTATTTTATTGAATATAGAGGCAAGAAAAATTGTACATTGTTTGAAATGTTCTTTTGTAACAGTTTTTATTCATAAAGCATTTTTGTACATTTAAAATGAACATGGACTTGCTGTTATTTGAGGCGTAGATACATCTGGCATGCTTTACTGTCATGCTCCTCCATGGTCTTAGATGTTGGGTTTTAAACATTTTTTTCTAAAAGAAAGCTCAGTCTTTTTCGCTACCAGATCAGGTTAGCACGGTATAGAGCACTTAACTATTAAAAAAAAAAAAGTTAATCCTATTCATATGTTATTCATTGTGTGAAATTAAAGACATTCAATTCAGTCTAACATGAGTTGTGAATTCTTTTGTTTTATTTTCCATCTGGTTCACATCAGTAAGGAGTCTAATAGTATTTGGGGGTCTTTGCTCACACCAACTGGCTACAGAATCATTGACAAAAATCTAACTGAACTTCTCTCTTTTGTCTGCTGCTGAGAGATATGTTGTGGGCAAGATTTGAGTCTGCTTGCTGGGTTGCTATTCAGAGAATATTTCACTACCTGAACATCAAGCCAGGGGCGGATCACACAACTGTCAGACTCCTGCTAAAACCAGTCATAGGATGCTATAGGATGTTGGAGATCCATCTTATTCTAAATTTTTAGAAGAACATTATGGATGTTCTCGAAGTATCCCAGAATGGCAGATAGCTGAAGAATGGGTCCTTGGCTTGGCTTCAAGTTTTACTGGAACCATAAGAAGGAAGATCTACCTTATAAACCATAGTTACTGATCGCCTACCCAGAACTTAGGATCCTTCCTTTGGAGGAACTTATACAATGTGCATTTGAAAAATGAACTACAGTTCTAAGCAGAACATGATGAGTGTTAAAAGGTGATGGAGTCTTGGAAACAGTGTAGATCCCTCCATTTCTCTTTTTTATTTTCCACCTTTTTCTATTCCAAGTTTGAGTTCATATTTATAAGTGTATTAAAGTATAATTTTTACATTCTACTATGTAGGTGAAGGCACATATATTTATGGGGTTTTTTCCTTTTTTTTTTCTTTTGTCTTCTGACATGCCTCTTTGAAAAGCTAAGATAGGTAGCAAATGTTATGAGCAGCTCCCCACCCCAACCATCAGTCACACCCATTGTCACATTTAACATGACATTCAGTATTTGTGGCACCCACAGCAGAGAAACAGAAGGTGGGTGAAATAAGTGGACATTTTCAGGTGTAGACTCTCAGGAGAGAGCACTGTGTTTTAGATGGTCTCCTGAGATAAAGAACGTCATCAGCAATCTTAAACAGTAGAATTTTCCCTTTCTCCTCTCCACTGTAGTATTTTGCACTGAACCAGAAAATGTCAATGCATTATATAGTCCTCTTCCTAAATCGGCCTCATTAGACTCTTTGGCATTTCTAAAATCAGAAATGACTTCCCAGAGTGCCCCTAATGTCTTCCTACCAGCTTCTACACAGGGACAAAACTGTTGCTTTAGAATGGATTGCCTCAACTTAGGGGGTTTTAATCAGTCCATAGGGCAGCAATGTGCTGATCAAGACCCTTGGGAAAGTGGCAGGTGTCCATACGTGGCCGGTGTG